TTTCTGTTTTTATCGGCGTATTAGTAAAACTGAAGTTAGAGATGCTTTAAAGAAAATGAAGGGTGGAAAAGCTGTTGGACCTGATGATATTCCAATAGAGGTGTGGAAATGCTTAGGAGATGAAGGAATTTCATGGCTTACTAAACTTTTTAATACTATTTTGAAGACTAAGAAGATGCCAGATGAGTGGAGAATGAGTGTGTTAATTCCTATTTTTAAGAATAAAGGTGATGTACAAGATTGTGCGAATTATAGAGGTATTAAGTTAATGTGTCATACTTTAAAACTATGGGAGCGAGTTTTGGAGCATAGGTTGCGGTGTGATACTAATGTTTCTCAAAATCAATTTGGATTCATGCCGGGTAGGTTGACTATGGAAGTCATACATTTATTAAGAGGTTTGATGGAGAAATATAGAGAAAATAAGGAGGATGTACATATGATATTTATTGATTTAGAAAAGGCATATGATAAAGTTCCAAGAGATGATATTTATTGATTTAGAAAAAGCATATGATAAAGTTCCAAGAGAAGTGCTATGGAGAGTTCTTAAAAAGAAAGGAGTCAATAATGCTTATATTCAAATCATTAAAGATATGTATGCAGGAGCTATTACTTGTGTTCAAACACAAGTTGGATTGACCAAGTATTTTCTTATTTCGGTTGGGTTACATCAAGGAGCAACCTTAAACCCATATCTTTTTGCTTTAGTCATGGATGTTCTCACTAGATATTTGCAAGAGGATGTACCTTGGTGTATGCTTTTTGCTGATGATATTCTTCTTGTTGATAAGACTAGAGAGGGAGTTGAAGGTAAACTTGAATTATGGAGGTCAACCTTAGAGTCTAAAGGTTTTCGCTTGAGTAGATCTAAAACGGAATATATGGAGTGTAATTTTAGTAGTAATAGACCTAGTGAGGGGATTGTAACTTTGGGCGATCAAGTCATTAATAAGAGTGCACGTTTTAGATATCTTGGATCTATTGTTCAGAGTGATGGTGAAATAGATGGGGATATTATCAGCAGAATTCAAGTTGGATGGTTGAAGTGGAGGAATGCATCGGGCTTGTTATATGATAGAAATGTACTTCTCAAACTTAAGGGAAAATTCTATAAGGTGGTCAAATGGAAGTGGTCAATAGAAGCTTGGAGAACTACTTGAGACGCTTTGTGTTGAAGACACCCAAGGCTTGGGCCAAGTGGCTATCATGGGCGGAGTATTGGTACAACACCTCGTTTCACTTGCTTCACACATGACTCCATTTAAGGTGATGTACGGAAGGGACCGTCCTCACTTGGTGCACTTTGGGATTAACAGTACTCCAGTTTCTTCAGTGTAGTACTTAGAGGAGAGAGAACGAGTGTTAGAGGAATTGAAGAAGCATTTATTGAGAGCTCAACAAATTATGAAGAAACAAGCTAATGGGCATAGGAAGGACATCCAGTTCGAAGTAGGAGAGAGGGTGTTCTTAATGCTCTGACCATATCGACAAAAAACAATTGCCAACAGGAGAAATGAAAAGTTTGCTTCAAGATACTTTAGATCCTATGTAATATTGGACAAAATTGGAGCGATAGCATATCGACTGCAATTACGACCCACTGCGGCTATTAATCCGGTTTTCCATGTGTCGCAGCTGAGAAGAGCCATTGGAGATTACACGCCAGCTCGGAGTTACCGGCAACACTTACTGAGGACTTTGAGGTGATTCTGGAACCCTTAGAATTGATGGGGGGTCGCCAGAAAGAAGATGGAGCTAAAGAAGTGTTAATCAAGTGGAAGAATTTGCCTGACTATGATGCCACGTGGGAACCATACGTGAGGGTGAAACACCAGTTTCCCAGTTTTTACCTTGAAGACAAGGTGATTCTTTGGGAGGGTGGTATTGTTAGGCCTGTTCAGATTTATAAAAGACGGACTGGTGGGGTCCACTCCCTTTAATGCTGCCGCCCATTTGGAGCAATGGGGAGAAAGGGTTTTGGGAGGCTATTTTGAGAGGGAAAATTTGAATGTGAGATGTTTGAAATTAGGAAATGAATTGTATTAGTAAGGGGGATGGTTGGAGGGAGTTTTTTCATGCTTGAATATTTGTGTTCTCTTGAATTCTCGGGTGTTTGGGCTCTAGATTGCTTTTCTAGAGATTTGGGAGAGAGTGATCCTCCTCTCGAATTGATGATCACTTGTATCTTGCTTTGTCTTTGTTTGGCTTGATTTTCTCATTGCAATCCATCGTTTGGGGGCTGTTTTTCCGCCCATACTTTGTATTATTCTTGTTGTTTTCACCAATTAATGATAGGTTTGCTTGAGAACTTAAGTATTTCCCTTGGGGATTCTTGCGAACTCAAGTATTTCTTGTCAGAAGGCTGTTGTTTAAAGGAATCTTGATGGGTTGCACTGTGTGGATGAAGGAAAGAACAGCCAGGAAGAAGCTTCATGTAGAGGATTGATGTTTTGGTCTCAATAAGAGCACCATTGATATTCTTCTTGATCTACATCAAGAAGGCCTAGGCACCTTTCGAGTAGGTATAGACTCTTTAACGAAGAAGGGGAGGAAGAAAGATTGGAAAGGGGGAAACCATAGTTTTATTCATTCATACAAAATCTTTACAACTAGAGAGTATTTAGAATGCTTAGGTAGACTAACATGTCACTAAAAATATAGGTTTACCTAAAATAAAAAAAATAAAGACTAGACTAGTGCTTTACATATTTGTTGACCAATTTCCAAAAGTGATTGCTGATGTATAAAGTATTAAGCAACAATATATATTCTTTTGGATAATAATGTTAAGAATGGATGAACAATTTAGAAAATCGATGTCAAGATAATAAAATATTTAAAGTTTATCATATAAGACGAATGAAGTAAATCTTTTATAGATTGGGAGCACTATAGCAACCAGTTGGCCACTACAATTTGTGATGTAGAATGGAAACAATAATTGCTCGAAAGTAATAAAACAATTGCGTAAGTTAGCCAATGTAAAGTCTAACGTTTCATAATTATAGATTTATGAATCCTTAGTTATCAAATTGTTAGGAAAAAGTTACAAGCTTTAGAGGCAAAACAATTTAAAACGATAACAAATATAAAAATAAAACTAAATGTGCTTTAACAAAATCCGCGGTTTAATACTTAGAGAATTCACCTTGAGTTCCCGCGCTCAAACTCTTGAAATTGGGGTTTAGCGGAGAAGGGGTAGAAGCAACCCTAGTGATGCCACCAAAAGGCAGGTGACACGTAAGGTATTGTCTATTGGGAAAGTAGCCGGAGGAGGGGAAGCTGATGGTTGGCCGACGATGTGCTAATGTTCCATTGGTCGTTGCTCGTCAATCGTCTCGACGAGATGATAGAGTATGCGATTTATGTAGCTTTCCATTGAATCCTCGTATTCCCAGTCTGGGTCAAAGGAAGGGGATTACAAGATGTCGATTTCTCCTTAAGCGTTGTAAACGAACCCGTGGTCGACCTCAGGGTCGGCCATGCATGAGGTAAATGATGCTTTGGGTACGGTAGGAGATGATTCTTTGCTGCCCTTGATAAGTCGTCGTGCAGAGAGGTGGATTCCCAAACAATTTTCAAGGAGAAGTGGGAAGAAAGGAGGGTTGGCCAAGCTCGGATGGATGGGGAAGTTAGGGTTCAGATTTTGGAGGTGGACAAAAGAGGAATGATTCAAATTTTGAATCCCTAAATTAATTTTGGAGGGAGGGAAATAGGGATTGAGAGTTTCTCAATGTAGGTGTCGACTTTTGGAAACACATTAAAGTAATAGGAGAGAGAGGGGGCCGTGGAGAGAGGGAGGGCCGGCGGTCCCAAGAGGAAGGGAAGGGATTGTGGAGAAAAGATCAAGGGTTACTTGTTTTGGAATTTGAAATTAGGAAGGATTGAATTAAATCCAATCTAATTTAAAGTTCAAATAGAGCTTATTTGAAAACTTTCCTAAAATAGGAATACTAGTTTAGGAAACAAATTCAAACCCAAATTAATTTGAATTTTGGAGTAGGGATTGATTGGATGGATTTCCTTTAGTGGTCTCGTCTAAAGTTAGGAGGAATTAATGGAAAAATATTCCTCTTAATTTTCATTTAAAATTAGATATCCGAATTGAACACTTTCCTAATATAGATTATGTCGATTTAGGAAAGAAATCAAAATCTGAATTTGAGATCATATTTTGAATTGGGGTTCTCTCCTAATCTTTATGCTCCACTTTTGGAAAGAAGCAAAATAATCAATTTTGGATCAATGGGAGGGGAAGGCCGGTAGTTAGGGTTTGGAGTTTGGGTGGCTTTTGGCTAAAGGAGGAAGGGGTGTGGGTTAAGTGGAGTTGAATTGGTGTTTGATGTGGAGAAATGATTGACCGGCGGCTTGGAATGGGATGCAGTGAAAGCTGGTGGTGTGGGAGGGGAGGGAGCTAAGGCCGGTGGCTTGAAGAAGAGAGAAGAAGGAGAAAACATAAAGAAATTGATAGAACCATGAACCCGGACTTCTCCTGCGGTTGATGGGTGATCTGCTTTCCCTTCACCAAGGGCCTTCACCGAAGTTCTCTTCTAGAACTTTCACAACTCTCCAAGCTATATGTGCAGAAATTATCTTAATTATTATTCATCATCCTTCATAAGAGGGAAAAGAAGGCTATAAATTGGCCCTCGTACAAAAACAAAACAAAAGACCAAACTACCCATTGGGGTTATATGCATCTAGTCCCTCAAATGAGGGCAAAAATGGAAAATGACGCTAATAATAATAAAATTACAAAACATCAATCAGAAATAAAAAGATGCGAGCATAGCCGTAGATCTCCGATGTCTCCTCACGCTAGAATCTCCTATTGATGTCCTCATCAATTTGTGGTTCAATTTATTTCAGCATTAAACCTTAATGTTTCAATTGAATTCAGGAAATAAGATTTCTAGTTTATCTCCTTCTAGTTTCTCTTTTTCCCTTCTTTCTTGGAGTCCACACCTACTCAAAGCTGCCTCCCCTTCTTGTTGTAGATCAATAAGTATAACAAACTGAGCTCTCATTGCCCTAACATCACGCCTCTGCAGCAACAAACATCTCTTTCTGGTGGTTCTATCCTACATCTCCATTGTGGCTTTGTTCTAACTCAACCGACCAGCGGCATTCCAACAGCCAGTCAGCCTTCGCGCAGCCGTAAGGATCTTCTAACAACATTGGCTTCTTACCTACTTCACCAATTCGTTCCCAGCAGCAGTCTTCACACAGGAACAGCAGGAGTCTCGATTTGACTACATTTTCCTGTTCAACAACACCAAGAACAGCAGCTGTTTGTCTTTCTTAATCTGCAACACTGACATCATCTGCAAACAGCAGTATTTATCAGTCACAGCCGGCATTCTACCTTCAGCACAACTTTCAGATCAACTGCAACTGTGGTCTTCAAGAAAACCTGCAATCAACAAAGCATTTTGCCCTCAGAGCAGCGGCAGTTTTTTAGAATCTGCGCACTAACACTTACCAACAGTTTTTCAAGATCTGCCATTTATATATTCCTTATGTTAATACCCGCTATTTTGAAGAATTCTCCACGCAGATCTGAGAAGAACAGCAAGAATAGAAGCTTTGACAATTTGCACCTAAGTAAACAGCACCTTGGGACATCCACGCTATTATCAGAAAACAATTCAAGCAGTTCCTCCGCTAGCATAAATTGATCGTTTCAGCCAAATGCCGCCATCCAACAGTTGCATTTTTCATTTAAATTTTTTTAATATTACATAAGGTCCTAGTTTTTGTTATAAAGAACCACATCCTTTATTCCCTTTCAGCAGCCACCAAAGACCTGTCTACATGAAAAATGCAAATTTGGCATAAGCTCACGGAATAATACAAACCAATCAAGCATTACAATTCTTCAAAATTAAAAAATCTCGACAAGTAAATGTTCAATTTGCTTCCATTGGCTCATCACTTCAACAATTTCATGCTTTCATGCATTCTATTGACAAGAAACTTAATAGTTTGTGCATTGACCATTCCCGTCCTCCACTCCAAAGGATCCTTCCTTTTCGACGGCATCCTTAGTTTTGCAGATCAAATTCCTTTTCCGTTGTTGTCACCATCTCCTACAGTTTTTCTTTTCTTAAATCAATGAAAATTGAACTTCCTCGCTTTAATTGATCAACATCGAAACATGGACCTTTAAAGCGCATGAATACTTGATTTTCACAGCACTCCTGATTATCATTGTTTTAGCATAGCTTTCTTTCATCTTGAAAAACCTACGGTTACTTGGTACCAAGGGTTACATATGAAAGCTCTTTCTACTTCTTTTCCATCTCTTAATCTTGAGAACAAGGGTATTTTTTTGGCAATGGGAGTATTAAACAACAATATATTCTTTTGGATTAAAAAATAGTACAAAAATAATGTCAATAATGGATGAATAATTCATATAATTGGCATAAAGATAATAAAATATTTAAAGTTTGTCATAGAAGAAAGAAACAATTTTTTTATAGATTGAGAACACTACAACAATCAGCTGGCTACAATTAGGGTTCAATTTATTTCAACATTAAACCCATACCAAATGCTATTTTAGTTATATTTTATTTGCATTGAATCAGTTTGTCTGACCTTTTAATAAACTAAAAACAGGTTTATGTAAGCACTATAGATAATTCGTAAATGCTATAATTGAATTCATAAAATAAGTTTTTTGATTTATACATACAAGGATGCTTTATATTAAAGAATTTGCTCGCTTAATTTTTAAAACCACAATAATTATATCCTATGTTGATTATAAGCGACAATATAAAACAGAAAGAGCGGTAAGACAAGCTTAGGCTAAATCAAATGCATAGGAGTTAAGATCATAAAACAGTCAGTTTAATCTAATGTTGCATACATTATTGGGTTTCCACAATAAATCCCAATGTTAATAATAAGACTAGTCCCTAAGTGAGGATCCCTCACTAAACTCTCTAACTTACTAAGCTTTAGCGGAAAGATTGGCACAAGTCTTTATGATTTAATTATATCCACAATTGAAAAGCGACTAGGAAAGTAAAATAATCGGAGGATGAGTTTAACCAAAGAAGAAGAGGATGCGAAGCTTGGGTGTAGTAGTTTAGGGCCTTGAGAAGGTGTGGACAGCAGCACACAACTTTTATCAGCATTAGGACAGCAATCATGAGGAGCTCTGGAGGGTAGACAGCAAACTCCCTTGGGCAGGATTCTTCGGACAGCTAGTTTCAGCTGCTGGACAACAACTTCAACAGCAGGGACAACAAAAATAATATGGGCTTAAGGCTAATCCTTGATGTAATCCAACTGAAATAGGAAAATACTTGGTCAAACCACCTTGTGTTTGAACACAAGTTATAGCTCATGCATTCATATCTTTAATGATTTGAATATAAGCGTTATTAACTCCGTTGCAGCTTCTGGACAACAACTTCAACAGCAGGGACAACAAAAATAATATGGGCTTAAGGCTAATCCTTGATGTAATCCAACTGAAATAGGAAAATACTTGGTCAAACCACCTTGTGTTTAAACACAAGTTATAGCTCCTGCATTCATATCTTTAATGATTGAATATAAGCGTTATTAACTCCTTTCTTTTCAAGAACTCTCCATAGCCACTTCTCTTGGAACTTTATTATATGTTTTCTCTAAATCAATAAATATCATATGTAGATCCTCCTTATTCTCTCTATATTGCTCCATCAAACCTCTCAGTAAATGTATGGCTTCCATAGTAGACCTACCCGGCAAATTTGCATGGTTATTTTGGTTTGAAAGTTATAATTCATGCAAACCCAACCTTGCTCCATTGCAAACGGTTGAGTTGTCTTTTGACATTTGACCTGACTTGTTTTAGCGTAAGATTGTGTAAGAGTTGCTTCATAATTTAGGTGAACGTAAGGACTATCATTTAAAAAAAGAAAGTAACGTGCTATCGTTTTTTATTAACATCAACTTAGCATGGTGTAATGTTTACAAATGTTGACATTTAAGGATAGTGTAATACTTATATTTCATAGTATGATCGTATACTGGTAAATTCTAATATTTAAATTGATACGCCATTAAAATTGTGTATATTTTTTTTACTCCTTTACAAAGCCAAACGTGTTATTGATTTATGCTTGCTTTGCTTGAAGTATTGGTTCTACTCATTAAGTTACCTTTGACGAAGCAGTAAGTTATCACTGGCTGGCGAATACAAACACAGAGCCCTGCTGTTCTTATGATGCTATGGCTGTAACCAATACTATTAAACCAAGTTTAGCTGGAGAAGAAGCTTCTTGTTTGAAAGAGAAAACTTTGGTGAAACAACATGATTTCCGCTCAATGCCTGCAAATGAGGATCCTTGTTTCTCTGGTCGTGCTACAGAAGCCCTCATGCCTGAAGGAGTTGCTGCTACTGACTTCGTATCTAGTAGTTGTGGCAGCAGTAGCAGCAGCCTGGAATTGGGGTAATGCTTCAATGATTTGATATTGAACTGAATATGATCTTAATTTTGGCTCCCAAGATTGGCTGTTTGGGCTGCCTAGATGGTCCCCACAACGCAACCTAGCCGGGAGGTACAAAGCTAACAAGCATGATGACAAAGTTGGTTTAATCTCCGCAAGTTATTTGCAATCCCAAGCCTACTATTTGCCTGAATTCGATATTTATCAGTTGCCTTATGTTATTCCATTTTGATGTTTAGTGAGAAAGTGGAAACATGGTTGTGTGTGTGTGGAAGGGAAAATGTAATCTTCATTATGTTAACTATTGCTGTTTAGAGAAATTGTAATTCTATTCATAAAAGAGCGCATAGGCTTTAAGGGCAGTTTTTTTTAGTTGAATGCAATACATATATAATTAAATAAATTTTATATTGTATTTCTCTCATAGTTAATAAAATTATATTACTACTATCTATCTTCAAATGAATTTTATGTTGTATTTTTCGCATAGTGAATATACTGTTAGAAATTAATGGAGATGAAAGAATAATTTCACCATCTCCGAGAAGAATTATAAAAGTTTACCTAAATCCATTTAAGTACAAAATCAAGGTTCTTAGACTTCTACAGGTTTTTGTTAGACTATGCTTTATTTTTTGTTTACTGCTATCTTTAGTGTCCCTAAAAGCCTTTCTTATAGGTTTTTGGAGACTAGTGCTCATTTTGTGCAGGGTCTTGTTTTGACTTGTGAGATTGAGCTGACTGTTGATTCTTGTGCCTCTTTTCTTTCAATTTTTTGAATGTTACTAGGTTATTGTATTTGTGCTTAGTTGGGATTGCCGGCTCTTAGATTTTATTTTTCCTTTTCTTATGTATGCTCTAGGGAGCTCTAGCGGGCTAGCTATCCCTTTAAAGACTTGTAATTCCTTTTTCTATCAACGCGTAGGTCCTTTCTGTGGGTTTTAATAAAAAAAAAAGTTTTTAGACTTCCACAAATAATAATTATCTTCAAATAATAATAATAAAAAAAGGTTTTTAGACTTCCATGTTTCAAGCGGTGTCGTTGAGAGAGCATGAGACATTTTTTCACTCAAGATGGAGAATAAGAAAAATGAGAACCTATTAAATTGGTGGTCATGAATTTTTTTATAGTTTAATTATATTTATTTTATTTTAGTTTGTCATTAAGATAAAATAAAATACTTAGTCTTTACGATATCTAATTATATAGGAAGATAAATGTGATGTCACATAGACCAAATAATAATCAAATTTCTAAGTAGAACAGAAATTTAAGTCATGTAATGTAATATCATAGGATGTCTATTTTTAAATGGTTCAATATTATAATTCAAAAGAGTTATCATCACAGTTTTGATACTTTATGCTAAATTACAATTAAAACTAAATAATTTTACTTCATAGTTTTCAATTACTAGATAATAGTAATACTTTAATTTGATATGAATTTACATTAACAACAATTGAACAATACATTTAAGCTCTCATTATACTAGCACATCATTATAATAAATTACATCCATATGAGCATGAAATATCTTTGAGGATATTCCTTTTTTAAGTGGGTTTATAATTATAAAATTTGTACTAATATATACTATAGAAATTTGAGAACTATGAACCCTTTCCTTCATAATAAGAAACTTTATGTTAATATTCTTTGATTTTGATGAGCTTATATTACTTTTGAAATATAACTCAGTTGCTTTATTATCCCAATTTATATCTAATTATCTCGTAATGCCATCCATAATATGTAGTCATGTCCCGTTAATCTTTAAATGATCAAAGTTTCACTATGTGAGCATGAATTTTTTTTTTTGTTCTTTTAGCTTCATCATAACCCATTTTACTATTCATTCTTGGGTTACTTTAATATATGCCAATCATTCCAACAATGTTCACAATATCCGAATGCATATAAATTTAAGCATACATAAGACTCCTTATTGCCAATGCATAAGGAATATTATCCATCTCTTACTTTTTCAATTTTCTTTCTTGGGCATTGAAGTATACTAAATTTATCTCCTCTAGCAATGGATGTTTCTCATAGTGCATAATCTTTCATGCCAAACTTGTTAATTATTTTTTTTTCAATATGATAAACCAAGTATACTATGGGAGCGATCTTGATAAATTTGCATACCCAACACAAAGGATGAGTTTTCAAGATCTTTCATATCAAATTTATTTGAAAGATATCTTTTAGTTTCATAAGATAAGCTTATATCACAGCATTCTCATAGAATATCATCGACATATAATATTAGGAGAATGAACTTACTCCCACTGATTTTATTGTAAATGCATGTTCAATTGTATGTTCTTTAAAACCAAATAAAGTGAACACATGATTAAACTTTTATACCATTGACAAGATGTTTGCTTTAAATCATAGATGGATTTCTTTATTTTATATAACATATATATCAAATACGAAGATTTAAAATTATTTGGTTGTAATATATTTATTATTTCTTTAATGTCACATTGAGAAAAATAATATATGCATCCATCTGATGTAGCTATAAATTATAATGAGCTACAAGTGTAATAATTATTCTAAAAGAGTAATTTGATGAAACTCGAGAGAATGTCTCTTTATAATTAATGATTTCATTCTAAGTGAAACCTTTATCTATTAGGGATGCTTTATATATTTCAACATTACCTTTTGGATCCCATTTGGTCTTAAAAATCCATTTACAACCAACATATTTTTCTTCTTTAGGAAATTCAATATGCTCCTAAACATCATTATCTTTCATTGATTTTATCTCATCTTCAATGTCCTCTATCCATGATAAGTGTAAATTATATATTATTTTATGTATTTTATTTTAAGTGAAAATGTGTTAGTTTAGTTATTTTTTTGCAAAAAATAAATAAATAAATAAATAAAACTTGGGAAAAATTCTAAATACTTTATAGTACCATGGTGTTCGATGAAATAATGTCATAGCATCACATTTATACCACAGAGTTTCCATAAATTGGACATTACGACACGGGGTTCTTTGTTTGCAAGTGTTGTGGTGGTAACACAGATAGCATCAGAAAGTCAGCTAGGTAGTGCCAGATTCTCAATTTTCAAATACTGCAGCTTCATAATTTCTTATGCCTTGGCACCATTTTTTGTCGTTTGGGCACCACATCGTTTGAATGCACATACAACCACGGCATTACATTTGTAACTTCCAAGGCCACATTCTCTTAGTGAAAATATATAATTGTTCACTAAATAATAGATCCACTTTTGTGAGCTCTGTAGAGGTCAAAATCTTCAATGGCATGGTGGTTGTTTACTTTAAGGGCACCATGAAACCATCATTTGAAGCAGCACGCGCAAGATGCCTTTTTATATCTTTTTATGAATAGTTCTGATGTTATATTTGAAAGGTAGTTCAGTAACTTATGTAAAATTCAATACTTTTTAAAGTGCTTATTTAGTTTCCTCTTAGAGTAAAATCTAAGGGAGGCTAGAAAAGTACAAGATATAATTATTTGGAGTATTTAGCCAATTTTTCTTGAGGCAACTCTGTATGTTAAGGGAGAAGGAGTGTAAAAAAGATACCTTTATCCTTCCTGGTGTTATCACTCTCTTATATTTTCATTCTTCTACGAGTTTAATGAAAATGAGTTTGCTTGTTATTCATTTTATGTCTGGTTAATTCACCTTTTCTGGATTGATGATGCAAAACACATTTTGATTACTAATAAAGATTCTTATTCTATAAATGTTAAAGATGTTTTCAATATTTTCCTTCTCTTTATTTAATGCCAATAATGGCCATAGATGTAGTTAAAATTTAGTGTGATGCATAGCCTCGATGGAGGAATGCAACAACAACCTGGAGTATTGAGATAAGATGTTTGCTTGCCTAGACATTGGACATAAAATATTCTAGTTTCTTAAGGAGATAATATAACTATAGGAGGTCAGCATATATTTTTTCACCCCTACAAGCTCGATAGAGATCTAGGGATGAACATGCTCTAATCACATTACTATAAAAAGTCTCTTTAGGAAAGATATGCAATTTAAATTCATCAATTCATAATACTTTAATTAAATATTATATATAATATTTTTACTTTTTTTTTAGCAATAGAATCTTCAAAAAATATACATATTTTTATTTTGGTAGGATAACAATTGAAATTAGAATAAATTAAAGTAGTTTATTGCTACTAAGCATACTTCCTCATGTATTTGGCACTTTACTCTATCACTTTATTACATAATTCAACATGTATAGTTGATCATATTAATTGGAGTTTTGTTATATTTTATATCAAAGAAAATCTAAGCATTATATGTAGGGGTGATAGAGCCATATATTTTTATACAATTTAAAAATCAACTCCACAGTCACCATCAATTTTTTGGTGGTATAGCTGGAGAAGTATTTTGTTTGTAGTTTTAACTATGTCAATAAAATAATTATATAGTTAGACCTACTTTTTTCTTTTTATTTTATTTGCTAATTGCTTATTCATGATTGCATGCTTTATATACAAAGAAATGAACCTTTATTGTTTGACTCTGAAAAAGAAAAAAACCTTTTTATAAATTTGAAAACTAGAAAGATAATAAAAATGACTGACCCTGTATTAGTTCAAGATCATTCTAGACCTCTTAGGGATTATGTTAACCATTTAGTAGACAAAATTCATCAGAGCATTAAAAGACCTATGATCCAAGCTAATAATTTTGAATTAAAACCTGTCATAATTCAAATGGTTCAAAATTCTGAGTTTGGTGCAACTCCTATTGAAGATTGAACTTATATTTAGCTACTTTCTAAGAAATTTATGCAATATTTAAGTATAATGGTATTAGTGATGATGCTATTAGACTTCAATTATTCCCATTTCCTCTAAGAGATAAAAATAAGATGTGGTTAAATTCAATTCTCCCAGGGTTTATAACCATTTGAAATGAGTTAGCTCATAAGTTTCTTGCTAAGTATTTCCCACCATCAAAGACTACCGAACTTAGAATTTATATCACTTCATTTACATAGTTTGCAGGAGAATCCATTTATGAGAATTGGGAGAGATTTTAAAAAAATTTAGAAAATGTCCTCATCATACTTTACCTAATTGGTTGATTATTCAAATATTTTATAATGAATTAATAGGATCTATTAGAGTAATCATAGATATTTTAACTGGAGGATCATTAATGTCTAAGATATTTGAGGAAGCATATAAAAAATAGAAGAAATGGCTACTTATAATTTCTAGTGGTCTATAGATCTTATAATTCATAAGAGAGTAGTAAGAGTATATGAATCTAATTCTTTATCAATATTAATTGAACAAGATGTAGCCATTCAAAGAAATTAGATAACTTGAAAATTAGAACCAAGACTTTTGGGTATGGTAATGTCAACAGAGATCCTTGAGATTTAAGCACCATAATGCCTCACCACCTAGCACCATAACATTATCACTCATATTTTGAATAACTACATCATGACAGGAATGGGAAGATACCCTTGGAAAATATTGTTATATAATTAGGAATCTAATTGCATAATCAATCTAGTGCACTTAAAATGATTGAAGATCAAATAGGTCATCTTGCTAGATTGATTAATTATAATAAATTTGAAGAACAATGTCATAACATTCAACATAGAAGTGGGAAATTTTTTGGAGACCCTTACAAAGATAGAGATCTACCTCAAAAAAATAATGGTGAAGATAAACTAGTATAAAATAAATTTTTAATTAAATAACCTGGCCCTATAAAATCAGCTAAAAAAATAATTAGGAAGGATATAGAGAGACCAACATTACATTTTTCTCAGAGGTTAATAAAAAAATATTAAATAAAAAATAGTTCTCAAGGTTCTTTGAAGTACATATTTAAAAAATTAACCATTAATTTACCCTTATTTGAATCTTTAAATAGATGCCCACTTTTGCAAGATTTATGATGGATATTTTGAACAAGCTAGGGGAATTTGAAATGGTAGCATTAACTAAAAAGTGTAGTACTTAAAGATCTTTGGAGCCTTATCATTCTTTTAACTATTTGTGAAAAATTATGCGGGAGAGCCTTATGTGATTTAGGTTCTAGTATTAACCTCATGCCACTTTCTATCTTTAAAACATTATATATAGGAGAGGTTCAACCTACTTCTATTACTCTTGAGCTTGCTGATAAATCTATCACTTACGCGAGAGGATACAAAATGTTTTGATTAAAATTGATAAATTCATTTTCCCTATTGATTTTATTGTTTTAGATTTAGAAGAAGTAGAAAAATACCTTTTATTTTTTTAAGACATTTCTTAGCTATTGAAAAGGACATGATCGATGTGCAAAATGGTGAATTAACTTTATGGGTTCAAGATTAAAAGGTTATAATTGATGTACTAAAATATATTAAATTCCTTTAAGATAAGAATAAAGATTTCTCTAGGATGGATTTAGAAGATATCATAGTAGATAGTCTGAAGGAAGAATTATTTGAAGGAGAATTGTAGGAAGAGGAAGAAGATGAAAAGAATAAAGAGAAGTTAGGGAAATCTATTCTAACAAATGAGGTAAATGAAAGTAGTTTGATCAATGGAAATTTTGAATTGTTAGAAACTTATTCTTAAAAAAAAAAACTATAAACTTATCCATTGAAGAGGCCCTAAAATTAGAGTTTAATGCTTTACATTGCCATCTCATGTATGTCTTTCTAAGTATTAACTCTACTCTTCATGTAATTAAGTCAACAAATTTAAAACCACATCAAGAAAGTTAATTGATTATGGATTTGAATGATTTTAGAAGAGCTTTTGGGTGGTCAATCACTAACATTAAGGAGATTAGTCCCTCAATCTGCATGCATAAAATTTTATTGGAAGCTAATTTAATATCAAAAGCTGGCCCTCAAAGAAGCAAACTCAATTTCATTAAACTCATAAAAGAATGAAAATACAAGAGAGTGATATCGCCAGAAAGGATCAAAGTATCTACTCTACACTCCTTTTCCCAAAACTTATAGGCTAATTCAATAAATACATGTTAAACACTCTAAATGATTGTATCTTATAATTTTATAGCTTTTCTTAGATATTTACTTTAAGAAGGAACTAGAGAAGTACTCTAAAAAGTACTAAATTTTAATCAAGTGAAAAAAATCCCATATAAACATAGCATTTCAAATATTTGTTGGAAAATATTAAGAGGCATTTGGCACTATGAAACTAGAAAGATTGGCACCACAACGCCCTTAAAGTGAACTAGCACCTCAGCGATGGAACTTTAAAACTATTGTAGGGCTCACTAATGTGGCTCAATTACTTTGTAAATAGTCACATATTTTCATTGAGAGAATATGTTGTTGCAAATTCAGGTCTATGAACTATGTTTTGATAATTGGCAAATACTCTTACTTGACTTGGACTGTCTTTTACTACTGACTTTTCTGGAATCAAAGATCGGACGGAAAAATGGAGCCAGTTCAAGATGGGGTAGATTAGGGATTGAGTCAGTCTGTAATTTTATTTTTCCCCTCTTGAGTCAATTGTAATCTTTGGTGTGACTAATGCAAAGTAACCCTACACACACACACACTTGAGAGACTTAGAATTTATGTTCTTACTCAAATCGGCCAGGACAATATTTACATCGTCCTGGACAATCGGGCTTAAAAAAAAATCTAATCAGGGGTTCTTAATTAAGGTAGCCATCATTAGCCAATTGGCCTGGATGATACTTGTATCGACTAGGACGATAAGCTCAAAATAGAAAGAAATAGCCGCCTTATTCATTTTAGGTATATTGTATTTTTGGAAATCGGCCAGGATAATATTGTATCGGCCTGGACGATAATACACAATTATGCCTAAATTGAACCAGTAATCAAGGAAGTAATTAAGGATGATTGATATGATTACATCGTCCTGAACGATTGCAGGATCAGCCAGGATCATCTATTCAAAAACCTTAGTTACTTTTGGACGATTAATATCGGCCAGCACAAATTCAGGGCGATGCTCTGGATGATTTTCCTCTGATCTGAACTGATCAGCCTGGACGATCAAGCCAATTTTCAATCGTCCAATTTGCATTCAGGGCGATGCTCTGGCCGATCTAATGGGATTTATACTGATCGTCCAGGACAATGTCCATATCATCCTAGATGATATTATCGGCAACTTGCAATTAATGAGCTCCTTTGAAGCTCTTCTATTTAAGAGCTCTTATTCAACATTTTTGAACATCCTTGGCTGCTGTCTTGACCTGAGAAAACCTAAAGGAGAGAGAGAGAGAGAGGATCTTGTGAAGGGGAGCTTGTGAGGGAATTCACAAGGGTTGCTCCAAGCATTGTTCTACTTCTTCTCTCCTAGAGTCTCTTATCCTTGGAAGGGTAGAGAGAGGTAAGTTCCAGCAAGCGATCGAAGTTCTCTGCCTGCTTCAGGAGGAAGCAAAAGGAGGAAGGTTCTCTGCCTTGCTGGGTGTGGCAAAAAGAGGTGTTTGTAAAGGCTTCTCCGCCTAGCTGTAGGCGCTAAAGGAGAGTCACGATTGTAGTGCAATACTCGGAGGGCGCCTCCGGGGAGTGGACGTGGGTCGAGTTGACCGAACCACTATAAACCCTTGTGTTCTTATTTTTACTGCTTCAGCATTTATTTTCTTCCGCATTTTTTTGTGGTGATTTGGTTTGTATTCGTGCTTTGCCTAAAGATTTTTTAAATACCAATTCACCCCCCCTCTTGGTTAGCCTTGGGCCAGTTCTATAGAGCCATCCCTAACTAACTTTCATGTGTTACCTTGAAGTTACAACTGTAATGTAATGACACTGTTGAAATTTGAACGCTATGAAGCCTAAGTGGTAATGATGGCATCAATATAGGAGAAATTATTGTGCTATGACATTTTAAAATAAAGAATTTGGTGCTGTCAAGCTAAATGTTGGATGCCATGGTGCTGGATATGCTATGGTGCTAATTGTGTTGACACCACAATTCTTGTAAATAGAGAATTTAGTGCCACAATGTTAGAATTGAGGTGCCTCGGTGGTATTGAAGGTTGTGTTGCTGCGTGATTTTATCGAACACCACTATATTATAAGCTTCTTAAAATTTCTACCATTTTTGAGTGTTTACTGCACATAACTATCTAAAATAACACATTTTCACTACAAATAAGACACATAAATAATACAAGTTTACACTTATCTTGTAGCTATAAGCATTGCCATCAGATCTACCACAATTTTGATCCACAGGCCTAGATCATATCCTATTGTATCAGCTAATCCATGAGGTTGAATGAGATTCAAATACGTTGATATCTTAATTGTCTGAATCCAATAGATTGAATAAAATATCAAGATATCATCTTCTTCATAAGCTTACTAGAAAATCTAGACTTAGGTTTAGCCTTATAAAAATTGATATAATTGATTAAATGATGTAAAAATTTGGACAGAGGTATGGAAGGGTGAAAGGAAGAGTGGGGAGATATTTTTAGAGTCATTTATGAAATGATTACCATACTATTTTGGAACCAAGATAAGCACCTAGGGTTTAGGTTTTAGCTATCTATAGATGGTCTCAGAGGAGGTTTGAGGGCTTATTCTTCTTGTTGAGAGTTCCTCTGTAACTTCATAGAAGATTTTAAGCTGAAATAGAGGTTGGGTGAGAAGTTTGACTAACTGAGATTGAGGGTGCTTTGATCCTTTGTCAATTAATCATCAGCGAGTACCAAACATTAGGGAAATGGCTGGATGATGAGAGAAACATTTGGGAATGAAAAATAAAATATTTGAATGGATAGAGAGTGGCTGTGTAGGGAATGAAGTCTTTATGAGTGTTTTGTTCTTTTTACCCTATTCCAACTATTGGAGGGAACTTAGATAGCTAGGATCGATCAGGTAGCCTTCATAGATGATGGACAAGTGTCCTAGGACATTAGGGTATAAGAGGAGTAGACTACTAGAATGAAAATAAGCTTGGGTCTTTCTTATATGGGGGGACCACCTAGGATGCTTGGGGTGAATCCAAAGTTGGGTTGGGATGGTTTAATGTCCAGGATAATTCTAGAGTTGATTTGAATGGGTTGGGTGGGCTGGTATGGAGGGAAACATATA